TTTTTTTTAATTAGTAAAGTAGTATAAGAGTGTGTTGAAAGAAAAGCTTTGATTTTGTTGTCATGTTCTTGTAACTTTCATACAGCTATTGGAAAAATCAAATTGCTACAAAAGGAATGTTTTTCTGCTTGAAAAGGTTTGTTATTTTTCTTGTGCAGTTTTAAAGTGGAACAAATCTCATTTTAGCTTCTATGGGTTTGATGAGTGTATTAGTGTAAATATCAAAAACCGCCTTATTTTTCTACCGAAGTCTTCGGATTATTGTTGTAGTTCAAAAATTGTTGCCACACTTATCGATGGTAGAATTTTGCGTATTAAATTAATTTCAATTCTGAGTGTCTTGGAAGAATTGGGTCGAAACTGTTATAAAAGCACTGTAAACAAGGTTTAGGGGTCTGTCTAGTTTTAGGAAATATTTATTGCGCGGAAACATAAAACTTACTATCACTGAAGCGTCTGGTGCTACTAATATCTTTTCTTTTACTTCTGGTAATTATTTAGTTAGGAATTCGTTTTATTTCCCTGTTTTTCAGCCCGCAGTTCACCGAGTTGAATCTTGATATTAGTCATCAAAAGAAGTTCAAAAATTTATATTATAATGACGAGTTTTTTTTGGCATTTTTTTCATTTCTCAGCTTACTTCAGCTATATTTTGCTCATTTTTTCTTTAGGATCACACAGCAATGCTGTACGCCCGTCCACAAGCTCACATGCGATCTTTCCCGTGTCCCTTACGTGTGAAGAGCGAGCTGAACTGCAACAGTTAGCCCAGCTGGTACCAGTAGCAAATACCAGAGTAGCCAATGATCCTTGCGCACTTTTACGGGCTGCCGCTCTGTACATAGATCAGTTGAGGACTACTGTGGCTGTTCGAGTTCGGAATGGAACTTTACCAAGAGGTTAGTGGCCAACTAAACAATTTGGTTTTGCTAAAATCTTGCCATTACAACGTTGAAAGTGAGAGGTTTAGTCGGCCGGGTAAGGTGAGATCAACGCTGATAGTGCAGTTAATTCCCTAATTTGTAAATTTATAAAGATCCGTTCTCTTAGCAGTTTCTACTTTATTATTGGGTTGTTTTCTGATTCAGTGCTATTACTTTACTGGTCAATCATCAAAATCTTTTATTTTATCTTTTATAGTAAAAATTAAAATTTAATTCTTTTTGTTTTCTTCTGTTTCTTTTTTTTCCTCTTTTTTTTTTCTTCGGTACATGTGGTCGTTATTGGAAACTGAAAGCTGTTCAACATCAGCAGATTTTTATTCGCTTCTATGTCTCTAATGTAATTTCTTTTCTTATAAAATTA